CGTACACAGGGTATGACATAATGTAACATCTGCATATCTCTCTCTTTAAGTGCTTAAGGGAAAGTGGATTGTACACTGTATAAATTCTATATAACCCTTTCTGTAACATCTCTCAGCACCAGAACCTGCATAGCTCCTAAGCTAATATACTGTATGAAGTCATTGCAAGTACGATGGTGCCTGAGTTCAGATCCAGGCAGAGGGTTTGGATCCCATAGAAAAAAATCTGGCTTTGTACATCTGACAAATCTCAATAAGAGTGAAACTGATCATGTACTGCCTCCTGGTGGTCTATACAATTGAAATTAACTGTGTAATCCTAATGTTGATGGCCAGTGCAACTGCAGTTCAGACAGGATAGGGACATTTTATTCGCTGAAGGCAAGGCTTCAGGAAAGAAGCATGTGCCCTTAGAGGGCTTCTAATTCTTTTATTGTAGCCAGTTGAGTCATATCTGCACCAATTCTTATGTATTTTGCTTGGGATCTTTATTATAAGAGATCATTTCAGGAAAAAAAAGTGTTAAAAAATTGTTCAATCAATATGAAGAATTAGATAACCTACCCATTTTAGATTTCAGCTGCAATAGGTATATCTGAAATACTATGCCAAAAGTTAATTTTCTACAGAGGAAAATTATAATCAACTTTTAAAAATATGTTTAAAAAACAATTCTAATAGGTGCTACTTGCATGGGACTGCTTGAAGAAAATGGGCTATTTGGCGATGGATGGAAAGATTGTTCCATTTGTGAACTCATCCAGGTAATTTCTTATTATTTAATTATTCAGCAATCTCTGTTATCAGCAAATCTGAAATGTGTACAGTATTGTATACTTATGCATTATCTCATATTATCTATAACAAGAATTAATTGCAATTCTTAGAGTAGGAATTTTCTTTTTTCTCCGAGTCAGATTGACTCCTAGCAGCTATATGGACAAGACCATGCAGATTCTTAGGCAGTAGTTTCCAGAAGTGGTTTGCCATTGCCTTGATCCTAGGGCTGAGAGAGAGTGATTGGCCCAAGGTCACCCAACTGGCTTTCATGCCTAAGACAGGAGTAGAATTTGGATTTTCTTGCTCCTAGTCCAGTGCCTTAAGCATTAGACTAAACTGGCTCATATAGAGTAGGCTTAGGCAGCTGACTTCTTGCACCCCTCAGAGACCCACTTATCATGCTTTGGATGGTGCTAATGCTAAAAATCACCATCATTTTTCAGAGGGCAAACATTAAAACAGTTAAGATAGCCTTAGCAGAGATAAATAAGGAATAACCCTAACCCACATCCCAGGAAAAAAGCAGAAAATCCTGGGTTTGCCTATATGATATGTCCCCCATTTTGTGTCATTGCCCACCCACCACAGCCACCACTCCAAAGTTAGCCCCTTGAATGCAATTAGCACTTATACTCTCCTACATTATTAAAATGTTTATATTCTACTCAGAGTTGCTCCACATCTCCCCATACTAAACTTGAACAACGCTATAGCAGTAGTTGCTCCCAGGCTATTTAACTGGGCCTATTGTTTGCATAGGATTCTTCTTTGATGTAACAAGAAATATGAAGAGCTTATCTCAAATTACATTTCTGGCCAGCTGCTTAAAATGAATAATATGCATATTTTAATTTGTAATTATTTTTCCCTTTATGTATAGGGTGGAACAAAAGATCTGAGATCCTTAATGTAAGAAAACATTTAAATTATTTTATGCTGATATTTTGCTAGTACAGTGGTACCTCTAGTTATGAACTTAATCCGTTCCATGACTCTGGTTGCAACTCGAGTTGGTCTCAAGTCGAGGTAAATTTCCCCATAAGGTTCAATGTAAATAGGGCTAATCAGCCCTCCGAATTTGGTCGCACCTCGAGGTAAATTTCCCCCATAAGGTTCAATGTAAATACAGCTAAACAGTTCTGAAACATATG